TGCCAAGACTCTCTACAGTTTGCTATTCTAGAATTTACCTTGTTTGACTTCATATTTCCCTTTCAGCAATAACCTAGAGAAAGAAGGGAAGTCAAATTGAACTGCAAAACTTTGAAACTAAAATGCTAAGATATGGTTTAGCTTTCCTATTGTCCAACATGTGTTTATAACTTGACTTCCTGATAGCATATGAAGTAGTTTTAGGTCAACTTCTACAACTTACAAACTAATCCACACAGGCATATAAACTTAAAATTCCAGGTTTTGCTGGGGCTGAAAAGTTGGTCCCTATACTTGTTGAATATCTCTGAAAGTGAACAGTATGAGATGAGAAATATAAAATTCATCTAGTGACAACATTTGCCCCATGAAAATTTGCTTCCAATAAACCTGATTCCTAAAGTTGGAGAGTAAGGAGTTTCAATCAACATTTAATAAATATTTATTGAGCATCTACTATGTCCTGGTAATATAGTGGTGAACAAGACAGACAAGGCCCAAACCTCATGGAGCTTCTGTTCCAGTGTGGCAGATACATAATAAACAAGAAAGTGCAATAATTATAGGCATTTATAATTTTTACATAGAAATAAACAGAGTACTAATAAAATGAATAGCTAGAGAGGGCCACTTCAGATAGCATGGCTAGAGGAGATAAAATATTTTTCAGTGAGAATATCATACAGTGAGAATGAGCAGTCATGGGAAAAACAGCAAATGATTTCAGGTAAAGGGGCTAGCGAAGTGGAAAGGTAATGGAGACAGAAGGAATCTAGCGGGTTTGAGGACCAACAGAAGGCAAGGGTTTCTGGGACAACTGGGAGGATGAAGGGATAAGTTGGGCATATTGTACAGGGTCTTGCAGAATTTTATTCAAAGATGATACAAAAGGTAACCTATTGGGAAGTATTCCACTTGTCAATATTGGGAGTATCATGATATGGTTTACATTTAAATAAAAAATAACAATGGTGAGAGTAGACTCAGTATGATACATTGGCTGATCAGCTTGGGGTGGGGGGGGGCTGGGGGAAGGAAGAGTCAAGGATGACACTTAGGTTCCTGGCTTTTACACTGAATTCAACAAAAAGTGGATGAAATTAGAAGGTAATTTTGGTTGACCAGCAAGAAATGATAGCCTATTGGACCAGAGTGGTGGTGGTGAAAAAAGAGCAAAATAGAGACATTCATTAAGTTCACTGGCTCTTTAGGGTTGCTCTTACTCTGTGTGACCTATAGGATAATCCTGGTGTATCAGTAAAAAGTAATGCTTCTCAAAATTTTCATTTCAAAAACATGGTTTATTTATTTTTAATTTATTTTTTAAATACACATTTCTTCTTTTATTTATTTATTTATTTTATTTTATTTTTGGCTGCACTGGGTCTTGGTCGCTGCGTGCAGGCTTTCTCTAGTTGCAGAGACTGGGGGCTACTCTGTTGCAGTGCATGGGCTTCTGTTGTTGTGGAGCACAGGCTCTAGGTGCGTGGGCTTCAGTAGTTGCAGCACACGGGCTCAGTAGTTGTGGCACGTGGGCCCTAGAGCATGTGGGCTTTAGCAGTTGTGGCATGTGGGCTCAGCAGTTGCAGTGCGCGGGCTCTAGGGCACGCAGGCTTCAGTAGTTGTGGCACGTGGGCTCAGTAGTTGTGGCGTGCAGGCTCCAGAGCACAGGCTCAGTAGTTGTGGTGCGAGGGCTTAGTTGCTCCGTGGCATGTGGGATCTTCCTGGACCAGGGATCAAACCCATGTCCCCTGCATTAGCAGGCAGATTCTTAACCACTGTGCCACCAGAGAAGTCCTCATGGTTCATTTAACAGAAGGAAATAATGAAATGAGAAAGGGATCAAATAGTAGAGATTATCTCAGTAATTCCTAGTTTCACAGCTGCCTCAACATGTATCTTCTGTAGAACTTTTCTTTCTCTTAATTTTATATCTGACTCTATCAAGAAGCAGATAAAGCTTCACTTGCTTAATTCCGTTCTAACAATCTAACTTAAAAACAGAAGCCTTTTTTGGTTATCCGATCTATACTTACTAGCAGTTTGACCATGGAAGAATCACTTATCCTTTCTGAGCTCGTTTTCTTATCTGTAAAATGGGAGTAATATTATCTGGGAGATTACTATCAAATGGACATAATATGTGAATGTACTGTGCAAATGATGATGAGCTTCCTTCCCACTTATCTTCCCGCCTTCCTTCTTTTCTTTCATAAATTTTATTGAGAGGATGAATGAGTAAATATTGGCTATTGTCCAACTCTGACAAAAACCTTGAGGTACAAAAATAATATAGTCCTGCTGTCAAGAAGCATGGACTCTAGTGGAAAAGGCAATCAAATAATTACTGTGAATTGTGAACTCAGGAACATGAGGTCACAGAAGAGAGAGTTTTGACATCTGCCTAGGAGATCAGAAGGACAGAAACAAAGTACAGTACTTAGGGCATCACAAGAGCTGAACAAGTGGTGCTCTCTTTCTCACACAATTGTGTAATAATTAAATGAGATGATATATGTGAATTACCTTGGTAAAATGTAAAGTCCTAAATAAATGACATTATTATGGTTGTTATTCTGACCACCAATGACAGAGGTGTATACAATACCAAATGGCATTCTACATTGATATGTCAATTTTTTTTTCTATTTCTTTGATCCTTCTTTGTTTTGATATACATTCCTGAACAGTGGCTTTCAAACTTATTCACAAGGCAGGGAATATGGGAATCATGATGCTCTTTGCCAAACACCATGAAATACAGAAGTATTTATGTCCATGATACTATTCATTCATTCAACGGATATATGAGAACTTACTGTGTGCCAGAAATTATTCAGGGTGCTAGGATTACAAAGGAGAACAGGATTTGGAATCTACTGTCTAACTAATAAGGATAGCTTTCTAGTAGAAAGATACACAATAATAAATGTAGTCAGTCAGTTCTCTGTAGAATCTGTATGAACTCATTTAGTCTTCTCAAAACTGGAGGTAGTCATAGGTCTATAACAATTATGCACATGTTATAGATGAGAAAACCAAGGCACAAAAAGAAGTAAAATAACTTCCTCCAGATCAAATAGGTGGTGAGTAGCAAAGCCATGCTTCAAACTTAGGCAGTGTGATACAAGTCCTTGCTGTTCATCTCCAAGCCAGTGATTCTCAAGCTGTAGCTGTGTCAGGATCCTCTGAAAGGGGATTGTTAAAACATAGATTGCAGGGACCTGATTCATAAGGTATGGGGTGGGGGTCAGGAATTTGCATTTCTAGCAAATTCCAAGGAGATGCATATGCTGCTGGTCATTTTGGTCCTGGGACCACAGTTTGAGAACGACTGCTAAGCAATGCTCCTTCTCTATAAACTTGCTTATAATGATCTGAGACTAGTACCAAAATCTGGTTTGTATATAAACTGACTTTTATATCATTTTAAATATATCAAATTTTTAGGAATGCAACTTCTAGATAAATCAACAGGAAGGTACTTTGTTCTGCTGGGAACTTGACCAAGAGTTTTCTAGCATGAATAATGGAGGTATGATATTTGAATGACCATCTGATAAGGCAACTGTGACATTCATCAAGTTATTATTATCTCTGGATCTTCATTTCCCAATAGTAAAATGAATCTATTAGATTAAGAGGCCTCCAAAATCCTTTTCGATTATATTTATTAACTGAATAGAGATGTTTTCAACTTTCTTCACAATTGTTTGTGCTACTTTGATCATGCCATCAAAGAAATTTCCAACTTGACTGTTCAGCTCTTCAAAATTGATGATCTAGTGAAAGTTTTAACGTTTTAACAACCAATGACACATTTTCCCAGAGATTAGGAAGGCAATGTTACTCTGTCAGTTTATCTCTAAACAGTAAGTGTGCTAGTTTAATTATATGCTTCAGCTTTTCATCCTAAGTAACGGGGAATAAAACCTAGAAGTAGGGTGTTGGCTCCACCCTTGCCTTTGCAGTTTGTGACTACATTAGAGAGTATTTTCATTTAGGAGCTTTCAAGGGAAACTCCTTTTGCCAAATCAAAATTGGCTTTCCGGCCTGGAAACCAAGATAAGGCTATTAAGTACATTTATTTTAACACCCCAGGACACTTCCTAAGTATTTTCAAGCCAGAATTTGGAAGACAAAGGTGAATAATGTCGACTTGCTCCCTTTGAATGCTTACAATCTGGTGGAGAAGGTAGACATCCAAGTATTTATTTGTAACCAGTGTTTTAAGGGCAAAATGCACGTGCCCTAGAGGGCAGGGGCACAGAAAAGTCTGTCTTGTTCATCACTTGTCCTTGATGTTGCACAGGGCCTGACACCTAAAAGGCTCTGTGCACAAAAGGAGCCCCAACTTCCAACAACAGCCAGGAAAGACAGAGGAGCTCTCACAGAAAAGGATGATAATTAAACTGAAGGAGGAGGCACCTGGAAACAGTGCTACCTTATAATTACGGGCGATGAGACTGACACCCTGGAACCTGCTCATAAGACCAGCATTCTCCCACCAGCTCCCTTCCTCACCCTGAGGGACTTGCTTCCCCTCTGGGCCACCTGCTTTTCAGCTGCAAAACAAGGGCTTTAGTGCCTGTGCGTGTTTGCGTGCGCGCAACTAAATCCTATAACGTTAGCGGGCGGAAAAAAATCCTAATACACAAAAACTGCAAGTTTGCACTACAACTGAATTCCCCAGTGGATAACAGGCAAACAACATTAACAGGAAACCGACAAAACCCAGCAAACAAAAGGAAGTGAAAGTTTTGGAAAACGGAAGGAAGAGCAGTTCTCAAACAGCTGGGCTGGCTCGGGGTCGCACGTAAAATAGTTCTGAGGATAAAAGTTAACTGAGTGAGGACGAAGTGGGAAAGACGAGCGAGTAAAAGAAAGCTCCACTAGTTAGGTCGCTCTTTCTCTGGGCCTTTTTCCTACCTTCGGTACCCCCTCCCCCCCCCCTCACCGCGCTTCTCTGTCTCTGACATTTAGCCTCCCCTCCCCCTCACCTCTCTGTCTCTTCCTCTCTCTTTTTCTCTTAGTCTCTCTCTCTCTCTCTGTTACTTCTCAAGGAGCGAAGGAGCGCAGTCTGGGGCGCGCACAGACCAGCTGTGGCTCTGCAGTCCTCTTTGGAGGTGTCCCTTGGCAACTGAACCTGGTGCTGGGCTCTCTGGGCCTGAGGTCCGACGGCCGCCAGGTGACGGGCGCGCTCTCCAGAGGCCCCTACCTAAGGGGCGGTGCCACTAGCAGGCGCCCAGCCCCCGCGGCCCCGAGACCCCGCCCCCCTCCGGGTTGCCGGTTTCCAGCACCTCTATTTTAAGGCACTAGCACAGCAGCTGTGGCCTCAGTCCCCGCCTTCAGTGCTTTGGCTCGCGTGCCTTCCCCACTTCTCCTAAGGGCCTTGCCAGCATGAGTCCCTGGCCCGGTTCGCCGCTCTCCGCCCTCCTGCTGCTCCTCTTCAGCGCTAGCAAGGTGCACTGCGACACTCTTGCCAACTGCACCTACCCTGACCTGCTGGGCACCTGGGTCTTCCACGTGGGCCGCAGCGGTTCTCAGCGCGAGGTCAACTGCTCGGTTATGGGTAAGCCGCCGGCGCCCTTGCACCCGCTTCCTTCCTGTGCCTACCCGGGGCACCTTCCCTTCGGTCCCTGAGCCCTTCCCTGCAGCGCCCCCGCTAGGGGGAGGCCAGGAGGTCCTGGCTGGACTTGGGGTCCATGGGGGGCGTGCCCTCTACCGCTCCAGGGCAGCGGCGTCAACGTGGAGCTGCTGAGAACGTCTCACTTCGCTCGGTCTTGGTTATTCCCGGGCCCCAACACTTTTTGCAAGAACTCCCCCCCCCCATGGTTTCCGTTTCTTGTTTTTGGGTTTGTTTGGTTTGTTAAAGAGTTGAGACCGTGCAGTCTTATCTCCTCATCCCATCTGCAGTATTTTATTGTGCCAGTGAAAAATGAGCTCAAAGACTTTTGAGAATATAGCTTTTAGTTTCCTTTTATTAGGTTGTGGGAAAGAGCCCTTAAGCCCAGAGATTTTTTTTTTTTTTTTTGCGGTACGCGGGCCTCTCACTGTTGTGGCCTCTCCCGTTGCGGAGCACAGGCTCCGGACGCGTAGGCTCAGCGGCCGTGGCTCACCGGTCCAGCCGCTCCGCGGCATGTGGGATCTTCCCGGACCAGGGCACGAACCCTTGTCCCCTGCATCGGCAGGCGGACTCTCAACCACTGCGCCACCAGGGAAGCTCAAGCCCAGAGATATTGATGTGGACCTGAGAAAGCTTCTGGTACCACTACACAGTTGCATGTATTGCAGGGGGGTTAGTGATACCCACCAGGGTTCTTGGCCTTCGCCAATCAGAAATTGACTACAGGCCAGACAAGAAATTCAGGCAAGGCTTTATTGGGCCCCTGCTGCAGCAGGGCTAGTGAGAACAAGTAACAAGCTTGTTCCTTATATGGGGTGAGGGTATGGGGTGTGTCCAGTGGTGGGGGGGAGGGCTGGCTTGGGTGGTTTGCCCACCCCTCTGGGGGTGTTGAGTGCAGGGGGCATGCGCAATACCCAGTGTTAGCTCCGGACACCCAGTTTTTGCACAGGGCTCTTCAGAAGTGGCAGTTAAGTTTTTTGCTTTTTTGTATCTTTTTGTCCATAATGGGGCCCAACTGTGCATGCACGCAGTTATTTTTAGTCCCATATAGTTTCTTTGTATTTTGTTGCTGGAGCAGGTTTGTCCAGGTGCAAGCATTGCAGCACTTCAGCAAAGGGTCCCAGGTCCCAGCCTGTCTCAGTAGTATATAAAAGTTTTGTGTTTTTTTTTTAATACCTCTTTGGCCAATAATTATATTTTGAAATGCCCAGAGCCAAGCACAGTGCCAGGGCTCATGGAAGGCTCTCAATAAATATCTAGTGTTTGAACACCCTGGAACATTCCATATGCCCTCAGATAACATGGCTATCCCAAGGACAAAGAATTTAGTGAAGGGGGAAGAAAAAACACACAATCTTGGGTAAGGAGAGGCACTCTCGTTCTGCCCAAACCTTTACCACACTGTGGCTTGTGCAGAATGAGTGAAGCTCTCAACTGCAGTTTCCTTGTTAACGGAACAGAGATTGCCAGGTCATCTGTCACTAAACAGACTTACTCAACTGTCCAACTCCAAATGACTGTGTGGCATTTCGTAGTACTGGGCATTATAACCATTTTCTCTTTTAAAAGTTGAACTTGGAGATCCAAAGCAGAAAGGAGATCAGGATTTGCAGTGTTCTGTCACATGGAATCCCCTATTTCTAAGCATTAATCTGAAACGTGGAAAAATTGTCCAAAGTGTGGAAACCTCCAGATTGGACACAGCAGAACCCTTTTCAGGCAGCCTCTCTGCCTATATTCCATACCTTTGACCTTAATCTAATCAATTAAAGACACCCACAGATCTGAGTCCCCATTTTCTGAAGGTTAAAAGTTTAGTTCCATTCGGCACAAATTAGCTGTATAGGATAAAAACCTTGAGTTTACTGAATACTTTGAAAGGATTCAGATTCTGAGGTTCTGAACTGTACAGCCATTTAGAAGAAAGATATCCATCCCATTTCTTCTCTGAAGAGATCATTTCCTTTGTTCTTATGATCTGGTAGCAAGTCTTTTTATATTTCCACTTTTTGATTACCATTTTGTCTTCTCATTTCTGCTGGTCATTTTCAACATAGCCCATTTCTCCTTTTCTTCAGTGGAAAAATTTCTTCAGTGTTTGGATGCTCTGGGAAGGTAGTGGCTGTACTTTTTGGGGTCTCTCTGCCTGCTGGGCTACTTGACGTATCTTTTGAGCCTTTGCTTCGCATTCTTGCCTGAGACCCCTCTGGGATTATACAGAGGGAGGCAACAAAACGGGGACTCTGATACATTCACAAGCCAGATCCACCCACATTCAGTAGCATGAAAGGAAAGCAGCTTAAAAATAATGGAAATTATAGAGGAGCTTTTACCTCCCATTGAAGTCCACATAATTTTCCTTTGTTGTGCATTTTCTTTTCTTTAGGACCACCAGAAAAAGAAGTAGTGGTGCACCTTAAGAAGTTGGATACGGCATATGATAACTTTGGCAATTCTGGTCATTTCACCATCATTTACAATCAAGGCTTTGAGATTGTGTTGAATGACTACAAGTGGTTTGCCTTTTTTAAGGTTAGTTTTGTTGGAATATACATTCATATTTTCAATGATTTGATAACTGAAGCTTCTTCTAATGAGGAGACCCTCAGTATTTTAATTTTAGATTAAGAAGATAACCAGAATGGATACCAATTTTCTGAAGAGAAATTAGATGGTGTAATTTTGCCACTTTATTTAAAATTATAACTTCAGTAGGTTTAAAAAAAAATACATGATCTATATTTGAGTATGTATGATCCATCTCTATTTAAATTTACATTTTGGTAAGTATGACTAAATTCTTTATTTTCTTTATAACTACACCTTTATTTCTAATTGTTGCCTTAGTCACTTGGCTTTGTACTGAATCTGTTAGAAAGATAGGGTTTTTATTATTATCTTGAGGTTATTATACTGTTCCTCTTATCATCGTTTGTTAGCTTTGAGAAATTGACCTAAATGACTCATTGAACTAGTATAATGTACTAAATATATTAATGTGAATAATTTATTTGACTAAAGTGGGACAGAGATGGAGAGCCTTGGAGTTACTCCTTGGGCTAATGAAAGCAGAAGGTAGCCTAGCCAGCCCAGCTTGTTTTCTTCTCTCACTAGGGAAGAACTGTTGTCCATTCTTATGGTCTTACACATTGCTTCTAATTGCAGACACACTCTAAGGTAAAATACTTGAGCACAAATTGCAGTCCATCCCAGATATCCTTCTGAAGTTGGAACATTTCCTATTAGCAGGGTATTAAATGGTTTAACTAAATTGAATACGCAAACCTGAGACTAGCTGTTTCTTATTCTAAATAAAGTATAAGTAAAGACAGTTTTTCATGGGTTAGTGTCGGTAGCCTTTAAAACATCTGTTAAGAGTTGGCCAATTACAGGAATTTGTGGGAAGGTGAGGGAATGATTCTGTTAAAGATGATGAAAGACAAAGCACCAGCAAAAGACTAATTTCTGAATTTATTGTGATTGCTCATGTGGGTTGTGGCTTAATCACTAACTAGGATATGTTGTTGACATCTGAGCCAACCAAATTTCTAAGAATAGTAATGCCCAATTTTTTTTTTTTTTTTAAACTACGAGGACCCCTTCTTAATTGAAAAAAGAAAAGAGAGATGGGAAAAGTTGTCTCCCCTCACCTGGATTGGCTGTCTGATATTCAGCTGGTGGGAACCAGTCCATCCATGCTGGCCATTGAGGGCCAGCAGTCTGTTTTATTAGTTGAAGCCCATGCTTGACCAGTTATTAAATATTTTTAAATATCACCCCTAGATACTATGTATTTTTAAAAATCATAGCAGTATATGAGTTTTAAAAATTGTAGTGTGTATGCAATAAATGTGATTCCATCTGAATATAATTCTTGGTCTGCATATTGATGAGCCTAGGGCTTTGTAGACCTTTGTAGGTACTCCGTTACAGTCCTTCAAAAGTTCTTTGCCTTCAGGTGGGGAGTGAATTGCCTATGGAATTGAGGCACAAGGAAAGAAATATTCAAGACAGTTGTTACCATGTACCTTCCTCCTTCCTCCACTTCTTCCTCTTGCCCCTCCTTTTTCCCACCTCTCCCTTCCTCTTCTCCTTTTGTTGATACAAAATAGGTAATCGATATTTGTTTAAAACATGAAAATGAAGTAGAATTCAGTTGAGAAATACGTTGCATAAATTACTTAAGTACAAGATAGGGTGTAGTATATAAATAGATGAGTGAATAGTTTTACCCATTTGGCTTAGAAGACTTTTCATTCTTCAGTTCTGTAGAATTGGAGAAACTGGTGGTGGAACTTCTAATGACACCATTACTTACCTGAGGCATAATCAGAAACAGGCAAGGGCAGTTTCCCTCCGGTAACATTTTCCCATCAGTCTGTCTGCTCTCAGCTTGAATAGGAGTCCGGAGATGGTGGGGACAGAGGGAATGGCTGGTAGCTGAATGAGGAATCGGAACACTTCTTTGTACAGTTGACCCTTGAGCAACACAGGTTTGAACTGCGTAGGTCCACTTATACAGAGATTTTCTTTTCAACAGTAAATACTATAGTAAATATATACACAATCCGAGGTTAGTTGAATCTGCAAATGGTGATCCAGGGTTGGTTGATTCCTTAGGTGTGGAAACCTGTATACTGAGGGCTGACTATAAGTTATAGGTGGGTTTTCAACTACTTGGAGGGTTGGTGCCCCAAACCGTGCGTTGTTCCTTTGTTCAACTATTTCTCTTTAAGTCACAGTATAAGCAAATTTGGTATTTTTCTGTAGCCTCAGAACATTAGTTGCAGATCAATAAAGGCTTTTTAAAGCCAA